CCACTGTCATATCCACAAGTTGCTCTGGACCTATTAATTATTAATGAAATATACATCACCAGGAATGCTGGTAAATATATAAATTTGTGGACTGTATATTAAAATTAAAAAAGGATTATAGTATATACACACATTTATATAACAGAAAGAGAATATCTTAATCATAACACTCACCAATTTGGCTGGAGATTAATGTGTCATGTACAGGACCCCCCCCCCCTTTTTGCCTACATTTATGGAAATTTTACTGGCCAGAAATTAAACATAAATTAGACAGCTTATCTGAGGTTCCTGGAGTTGTCCTGTCCTGTCGCCTGATACCTCAAGTTATGCAGGAATGCACATCCAACAATTTCGCCTCCTATTTGAGAGGTGTCAGCCCAATTTTAACCTCTAGAGCACAAAAATTCCTTCCCATTACACTAACGTTGTATCCAATTCAAAAACCAAAATGGCGACTGTCTTCCCCAGCCGCAGGTTTCCCATTTTCGATAACATACTTCTTTTAAAAATACAATATAGGGCATCTATTTACCTATAAATTACCGTATTTCCGGAAAATATATACAGTATTTTCAACAAGTGGTATGGTTTGTTTGCAATCCTATCATTACGATTTCGTGAGTCCTCTAAAGTGTTGCCTGCACTCTGTAAAGTGTTTCTGCCTGCATCATGTAAAGTGTTGTTGCCTGCGTCATGTAAAGTGTTGTTGCCTGCGTCATGTAAAGTGTTGTTGCCTGCGTCATGTAAAGTGTTGTTGCCTGCGTCATGTAAGGTGGTGCAACCTGAATCATCGAGCCTTTTATAACCATCACAACAGCTATAACCACAACCAGCAGATATAACCATCACGACCCACAGCTGTCAAGAGAAGTGAGACTCACTTCGACTACCCTGGAGTCAAGTTAGAGTTCACTCTCCTCACTAACTTGCGCCAAGAACTTGTTACCTCCGGCCATCCTTCCAGCTGTGTTCCACCCGCTGCCACACCCACTTGTCCTCCCACTCGCTTCCCATAACTTCCTTCTCTTCCTCTTCTATTTCTCCACTCTCAAGATACTGCTCTCTCTCTCTCTCTCTCTCCTCTCTCTCCTCTCTCTCTCTCTCTCTCTCTCCTCTCTCTCTCCTCTCTCTCTCTCTCCTCCTCCTCTCTCCTCCTCCTCTCTCTCCTCTCCCTCTCCCTCTCCCTCTCCCTCTCCCTCTCCCTCTCCCTCTCCCTCCCTCTCCCTCTCCCTCTCCCTCTCCCTCTCCTCTCCCTCTCCCTCTCCTCTCTCTCTCCTCTCCTCTCCTCTCTCTCTCTCTCTCTCTCTCTCTCCTCTCTCTCTCTCCCTCTCCCCCTCTCTCTCTCCCCCTCTCTCTCTCTCTCTCTCTCTCTCTCTCCCTTTCTCTCTCTTGCCCTTTCTCTCTCGTTCTCTCTTTCTCTCTCTGGATTTACATGCAGGAAGCTGACATCGGACATACAGGAAAAGGCTTGCAGACAGGTAGGATTAGGTCTTGGAGCTGAGAGAATGAACTTAAAAACCCTCTATGGGGCAAGGCCTCCAAATAATCCATTGAAAAAACGTGTGTTCAGATCATCCAGGGGGATGACATGCCCAATAAAGGGCCTAGACCCAGCAGAGTTTGGGGCCAGGAGCTGTGAACTGACCCCTGCAGCCACATGTAGGTGAGTACAGACAGGCGGACACCACAGACTGGCCTCGAGCGAAACAAGAGACTAGCAGATTTTAGTAAATCATATAAATGCCTAGGCATGCTAGTGGCCTTCTTTGTAATTAATATTTTATTATGTAAACCACACATGGTAAGCTTTGCAAGGAAATAAATATTTTCATTTTCATTAAAGGGAAGCGCTAAACCCATAGGGCTTGAGAAACCGAAATGCTGATCGGTCCAACGAATGGGTGTCTCCAATTCCTTGGATCAGGATCCCTTCACTGCACAACACCTAAAGTAATGTTAACTACATTCATGGAAGGAGCGCTAAATCTGTAAGGGTCTTACTGTATCTTGGGAGGGGGGAGAGAATGGGAGGTCAGTGGTCCTGGTGCCTGAGGTCAGTGGTCCTGGTGCCTGAGGTCAGTGGTCCTGGTGCCTGAGGTCAGTGGTCCTGGTGCCTGAGGTCAGTGGTCCTGGCACCTTAGGTCAATGGTCCTGGCACCTTAGGTCAGTGGTCCTGGCACCTTAGGTCAGTGGTCCTGGCACCTTAGGTCAGTGGTCCTGGCACCTTAGGTCAATGGTCCTGGCACCTTAGGTCAGTGGTCCTGGCACCTTAGGTCAGTGGTCCTGGCACCTTAGGTCAGTGGTCCTGGTGCCTGAGGTCAGTGGTCCTGGTGCCTGAAGTCAGTGGTCCTGGTGCCTGAGGTCAGTGGTCCTGGCACCTTAGGTCAGTGGTCCTGGTGCCTGAAGTCAGTGGTCCTGGTGCTACGCACTAACAGTCCTACACTAATTTTGTTGATTAATTATGGGACCTGAGTATCGCTTCAATGAAAAAGTTTTGAACGAAAAAGTTTATGTAATTTTTTTAATTTAAATTTCTGGTATTAGAAATCATTGCTGTGAAGCACCTTTAGTGTCATACAGACCTGTGTGTCATACAGTCCTTTTAAAGCACCTATTGTGTTATACAGTCTTTTGAAGCCCCTGTTGTCATATAGTCCTTTGAAGCCCCTGTTGTCATATACGTAGTCCTTTGAAGCCCCTGTTGTCATATACATGTAGTCCTTTGAAGCCCCTGTTGTCATACAGTCCTTTGAAGCCCCCTGTTGTCATACAGTCCTTTGAAGCCCCCTGTTGTCATACAGTCCTTTGAAGCCCCCTGTTGTCATACAGTCCTTTGAAGCCCCTGTTGTCAGTCTTTGAAGCTCCTGTGTGTCATACAGGTCTTGAAATCCTTAGTGCATGTCACACAGGCCTTTGAGTCCTTAGTGTGTGTCATACAGTTATTAAAGTCCCTGTTATGTATCTTCTTGGTATACAAGGGTGGCACCTCCAACGTTAGCTTAGATAAACTGCCTAATTAGGCTACAGCTCTAAATGTGCAATTATTCTTCAGCTAATAACAACAGTAGGAGATGGAAAATTCCAGGAGTCGTACCTGTGGTTGCCACTCGTAAATCACGAGGCAACGTCTGATAGTACGGTACTTCTGTCATTAAAAGACAAGCGAGGTGCTCCTTCTGTGTCACAGGAGTCACTTAGCATGTCCTAAGATGAGCCAGTTCCCATTTTTCCACAGAGAAATTTTCCCAATGAGGCAAAATAGAGGGTGGTAAGAGGGGGGGGAAAGCAAACAGCAAGTAATTATAGACTTGGCCCAATGGAGCACAATGCCTAATTGCTCAAACCAAGAGACCTCATCACACCAAGGGCCCTCCTTGAAAGGGGGGGCATCGATCTCCTTGGAAACCTTTTAATCCCCCTGGAGATCAATCAGATGCAAAGCCACTTATGGACCTAATACTGTAGGTGCTATCTCGACCTGGAATTTCCTCAAGCAGAATTGTCTCAATGACATTGTGAGTGGCTGTCAAGGAGGTATGCAAGCTCTCTCTCCAGGAACATCTCAGTCATCCTGTATCTTACGGTCATTGTGTCAACCATCGTCTGCATCTCGTTACTAACCCTATCAGAAGCATTCACATGTCACGATACAACAGTGACGCTGCTGTAACACATCTCAGGAGTTTGAAATAGCTATGAATGAATAACAAGGCAGACATGGTTGCAATGAGAATGGATGATAACAGAGAATTGAATATAACTCCACTGTAAAACTACCAGCCAATTGTAATAAATGACCTCTGATAATTCAGTCAGAAAAAACTGCTGCCTCAGGGGATTTAGAACAACCAGTGTACACTGCAATAGCAAGAGTGGAAGTGATCAAGAAAGAGTGAATATAAAGTTGTATGAGACAAGTAAGCTTTTTCACATGAAAATGGGTAAGAGCAAACATGAATCACCAGAGCTTCCCAAGGAGAGAAAGGGAAAAGTAAGATGTTGAACTTTAAGTGGGAGGTAAATTAAACCTACTAGTGATATATATGACTGAAGAAGGCTGCTGTGAAGGAGAAACTTTTCAACAGTAAAGTTACCCAAGTGTTGCTCATGTCTGATTCATCAACTTGTCAGTAATGCATACCATCTATGAGAAAAGATTTCACCTTGTGCTAAAAATGGATATGAAATTAATTATTGGAGTACAGAATTATTCTCAAAACCAAGTGCTAAACCCACTAGGATCATACAGCACTGTTGGAGTATAGAAAAGGTGGAGATACTGTATTTTCCAGCATGTAAGGCATGCCTTTTTCCCATAAAGAAAATCTTGGAAAATCAGCCTGTGCCTTACATGCTCAAGGTCAGTCAAGGGTAGGGTTTAGATTATGCTTTAGCATAAAGTAAGAGGGTAATTAACTCTTGAATGATTACTGATTTACCTTTATGATACTTATGCCATGCGCCTTATATGCTGGAAAATACGGTAACTATTTAAATAGAACTTCTACTACATTCAGTATTTCTTTTTAGTTTCCAGATTATCCTAACTTCGTGTCACTTTCAGTGTAGTTGTAAAGTCTGTCTTGGCCTTGCGAACATCTGCTGTAATATAATGGAACATTAACTTTCCAAATGTAAATACTCATGGGAGAGAAGACAAGCCGTGAAAAACTTTCTTAAGAATTCACTGATGGTTCACGGGCTTTATACAAATTAAAAGGGAAAATACATTTTCCAATAGTTTAAACAAAATAAGACAACAGTAACATTTATGAAGGGATTCAGGGGGAAACTGGTTAGTGGGACTTGTCCTGGAGGTAGGAAGCACCGAGCCTGCACTCTGAAGGACAGGTGATGATATGTTGTAGTTTTTGAACTATAGTGTAGGTATGTCTCTGGCAAGACAGTGATGGAATGAGTGATGATGAAAGTGTTTCTTCTTTTTTAGGTCACCCTGCCTTGGTGGGAAACTGCCGATGTGTTAATAAAATAAAAAAAATTAGAAAATATTTATTTTACGTGCATAAGAAAACAGGAACAAATACTGTATATTAAAATAAAAGAATAGTATTCAGGGAAGAGAAAAAAATAAGATTAATAACAGACCAAGCAGTGGAACAAGCAATAACTTTAGATTTCCATCAAATGGATTAGTACTGGTAACAAATGTTAACATAATATTGACTTAACGAGGAACCGTTCAGTGAGCACTGGTACATAACTCCTGAATACTGGTGTAACATAATAGTTGATTGTTTCATCAGTGCAGACACACCAGCTAAGTAAACTGGGATATCAACAGTAGCATTTCACAATTATCACTGAAAAAACAATTGGTAATTGAGGGTAGCCTCAAGTAGAACTATTCCTAGACATTTTTAAATCTTTTGCTCTATCTTCAAAAGTGTATTCCAAATATGCACGTGTTATGCAAATAAGTGTTCTGAATAACAGAAGAAATGTATAATTTAACCTTAATAATATACACTGTATTCAAATTATTAGAGAGAAAGTCCATTGTACTTATGTAGTGTGATTACACAAGTGTATCTTTTATGCAGTAACTTCTGCAGTGGGGTCCTGCTAGCCACCTGGCATGCAACCAAAACACAGCCATTATTTGCCTCTCTTCACCTAGTATGTCAACAGAAGCACTATTTCAATCCACATTAGATGTCCGTGCCTCCCCTCAATATGCGATTGCTCACATATACTAGGAGGCCTTTTTTACAGTTGGCCCCCAATGCTGACTTGCTTTTTAAAACCAGGATGTTGTCGCATAAACACCCACTCCTCTACTCTCTACCAGGAACTACTGTACAGCCTGCATCTAGTTTCCCAGTGCCCTAAGAGGACTAATTTCTTAGAATTTGTGTGGTTTCATACCTCTACTCTGAAATTTCTAAGAGCACCAGACATTGTTTTTTTTTCACCCACTTCATGGTAGCCAGATAACTTATTCCAAATGCTTCCTGTTGATACAAGAAAGCTCAGCTCAGAGGTTTCCAATGACTGATATATATTTGTGGAAGGGAAACCTGTGGTTCATGGTGAGCTGACCAAAGACAAATCTTATCTAGCTTTAAATGTTTAACAAACTACACCTCTTCTAGTTTTCTTTGTTCAACTTCAGAGCAACTCCCCAGGAACTTTCAATGTACCCCAGGGGCCTGGCAGGGCTGGTTTAACCAGGGCCAGGTCCCAAGGCTAGGTCTAAGGCTCTCATCTGAGTTGTCATATAATATACAGTCAGCATGCACCTTAATCACCCAGTGACCAAACCAGCAACAGGCAGACCTCCTATCCTGCCTACATCCTTGCCCTGTGTTATAAAGGTTTAAATGCATTACACTTGTTGACAAGCACTCAAACTCCCACTTGAGTTAGGGACCAGTTTCATCTCACCCTGCAGAACTTCATCCTCCTTTCTTGAAGCAGTCACATCACAACCCTGAGCCTCTCACCTGCCACCCACTGTGGGTGGGCAGCTCATCAGTCATCAGAAGTGGTAGGTCCTGCAAGTATCCTTGCTTTTCCATTTGCTGAGAGTTTATTTTCTACTGCTTGTCCCCTCCCTCATAAAGCTGGCATTCCTCTCATGTTGGTTAGATGACTTTGTTTACACACTTCACTTCCATTGTTTCATATCTGATTCTGAAAAGTTTGGTGCAAAGTGCAACTGTACACACATTCAAGTTCAAATCCAGCACCAGATAATTATTATTATAATAAAAAAGAAGTGCTAAACCTACAAGGGTCTCCAATGCCAGAGATGGCACTTTCCTCATTCAGTTCTGTTGAACATCCATGATAAATCTGTACAAGGCCTTTCCTCACTTCTTGATTCACCTGAATGGAGGTGAACTTCCAATTTATAGCAAAGTCTGTGCAAGAAAGGTATAAAATACCGACAATATGAAAGTTAAGACACAGGTGCAACATCTGGATATCTTTATTGTAGATGTTTTGCCATCCAGTGGCTTTATCAATACAGATTCTAGGACATAATTGGAAGACAGTTATGTCCTGTCTTCCAATTATGTCCTAGAATCTGTATTTATAAAGCCACTGGATGGCGAAACGTCTACAATAAAGATATCCAGATGTTGCACCTGTGTCTTAACTTTCATAGCAAAGTCTAACAGCCATGTCTTTAATTGCATCTGGTTTTAAGGATTGCTCACCATCATCTTTCTTGACATTCTGATCATGGATTCAGTGTACCTTTGATATCTGCAGCCAGTGAAGGCAAGGTATCTTTAGCAGTCTTGCCTAATGTCTTCTGTTATACCAAGTGACAGGTATAGAAACTACAGTAGCTGTACCTAAGAAATCAGGCGGTGATCCCTGATCTGTGGTCCACCCAGGGATATTACACCAGGCTCTGGTGAGGTTCTCAAAAACTTTAGAGCATAAACAAAAATAATAGTGCTTAGGTCTACAGTTGTTGTGACAAGGTATTCCACTCCGTATAAACATCCAGCAGTACCCTACAGGGGTTACCTAGCATAGTGTTCTCCCAAATCAGACTGATCTCTCGACCTTGTCATTGATGGTATTCATGTGTTTAGGACTATGCAAGGAAACTTACTTTTTTTGATCAAGTGAGGGTGACTTTGGCTAGGTGCCAGGCTTGCCCAGGGTTCACAAGACAGATCCTCTGCAATCATACATGGGCCAATAAGTTATTTTTAATGTAAGTGAAACTCTTCTTTCCCTGACCAACTTCTGATCTGCTGGTTGCTTTATTAGTCTTGCCTCAGCTCTACAGCTGCCTCTGGTGTTGCTGACTGCTGGTACAGTTCCAGGGAAGCAATGACACTAGGCCTCCAGGAACCATTGTTGTAACACCCCCCTTCCCCAGCAAAATAATTGTTCTAAGGATGTTTCTGTGATATACACGTGACTGGTTTCAAAAAAATTTCTACCATCAAAACTCAGCCTGGGGCTGAGCATTTCTGATCATTGCCTGTTTGACCAGGCTATTGGTGTTAGTGGCCCACTTGCCCACATAGCAGTCACAGCCTGGTTGATCCACTTTCCTCTTGAAAACCTCTACATTTGTTCATGCAATATTTCTCATACCTGCTGGTAGCAGGTTGAATAGTCTTGGGCCATGGATTAGATTAGATTCTTTATTTCAGCATGATACAATATTTGTAAAGAGGTAGAGGACATTTAGGTGTGCAGGCAGAAATTCCCTTAACATGCAAAACATTTTGAGATGTTGACAGTGCTCTTCTGACTAGAGATGCTCCTCCTTTCCACACAAGAGGCCTCTGGGCACAACATGAGAGCAAGGTTTCATTAACATGATATAAATACTGATAGTTTCAAACGTCATTAGTTTTTGTATCATGCCTCACTTTTAGTGTGTCTGAATTCTTATATAGTAGGACCCCTGTATCTGTGGGGGGTATGTTCCAAGGACCCACCGTGGATACTGAAACCATGGATAGTAGTGAACCCTATACATATGTCCTATACATACCCATTATAAAGTTTAATTGATAATTCTCAATTTATTGTGTGTAATTTACCACTTTTTCACTGATGGGAAGCACTTCATGGCTTCTCTTAGGTTTTGAAGAACTTCCACTCTGAGGCCATTATTGAGCAAAATTAAGGGTTATTTTTGAGCCATGGCAAACAGCGAATAACTGGAACTGCAAATACAGGGGTCTTACTGTAATAAAGTGAAGTTTCTTCTTTTAAAGCATCTTTATTCACTAACTGGACTTTAACAGAAGGGATCAATTTCTAAAAATTGGGAGTTTAGTGGAGTGCCAGAGTATCAATGTCAGTGCTGCATATTTTTTCACTCACAGCAAAAGACTTAAAATGTGGAATTGAACACAATGTGCTCACTGCATTTTCTACACCCAAGTCTTATTTCTTTTTGGATACTTTTTCTTAAGGGTGTCAACATGAACATAATTACAGCAATATTTTGAGATAGTCTATATCTGAGTATGTAAGGAAATACCAGAACTGCGTGCTAGCATGTACGGGGCATACAAGGCAAGTAGACAGCCACTTAGCATATCTGAGAGTTTTTCACAATCGTTGGGTCTAAAATAATGCAACCCATAAACAAGGAGGCTTCACTGAACAGTTGTATGCAAATCCTAGCACAACTAAAATTAAAAAAATAAACACATTTGATAATTAGAATCCATGCTATATCATAATGTGTGAAAAATTAATATGAATGAGATTACAGACGAGAGGTAAAGTACACTACTTTCTCTTAAAACAAAAGCACAACATAATAAAGTATGCTTAAATAAATAATATAGCAGTCACCTGCATAATAATCATAAATTCAGGACACTACTGTTGGGTTTTTTGAACATGGCTTAGTTTTAAATCTGTCCCATGTCCTCAAGTGTCAAATTTATTTATCTTTGCACATTAAATAAAAGCAATAAAGATAAAATGTAACATATTAGTTATTAGATGAAGTGCAAAAACATTTAACAATGAATACAATTAAATTTTGGTTTCTGCGAATATTAATTTGTCAACACGGACAAGACTTTTTCATGCTCTCCAAAGGCAACATAAAAGACAACGTAACCCCCATATACAACCCTTTAATACAAGAGAGAAAAAAAGTGGGTACTTTCATTGTTACACTGTTTAAAAACAATTGCTGTACTAATAATTTATTGAAAGCTAATATGAAAAATATAAGAATTTATAATTCTATCCGTAACGAGAACTCTGTATTAAAGTAAGTAGTACTGTATTCAAGATTGCCCAAACAGTACAAAAAGTTAGTTAACTGGTTCAGATATGAATACGATACCAAAGCAAATTCAATTCAAACGTAAAAAAGGTTATTATTGACTGCTCTAATACACACCACTGAAATTAAACTTGATATTCAGATTAATGATATAATATTTAAGGCAATTTTCTGCTACTATTAAAGAGTTCTCTTAATTTATTTAGTTCATTGGCACCATATAACTCCTCAGTCAGTACTAAAGAGTAGACAGTCTTGATTTGTAGAGGCCAGCCAGAGTACGAGCAGCAAGAACTATTGTCTCTCTTCTTGACACACCTGTTAACCTCTCTTGCCACATTGTATGATGCACCTGTAGTGAGTCATTGCATTAATATTTAACCAAATTTGTCACACACACCTATCAAATCTGTTTAATACATCTCTGGCCAAATAGAAAACGAGAAATACATTAGATTTTAAACACAACCATTCCTCACTTTGGTTAGGTAATGAAATGACTTGTTGCTGAACAAGCGAGCCTAGCTCATGGCCGGGCTCTGAGAGTAGTAAGATTCTCGAAACTCATCAAAGGTAAGATTCTGTAGCAGAAGATATCGGAAACACTGCTGGAACAAGTGTAGAAGCCTTCAAGAGGAAACTGGACAAGTATCTTCACCAGGTGCCAGATCAACCAGGCTGTGATGGATATGTGGGGCAGCAGGCCTCCAGCAGCAACAGCCTGGTTGACCAGGCAAACACCAGATGAGCCTGGCCCACGGCTGAGCTCCGAGAGTAATTAAACTCTCAAAACTCTTCAAAGGTATAGCCGACACATGGTAAAAAAGACACATACAGCAAATGGAGACCTTTATTAGTACAACATTTCACCTACTAAGCACCTTGATAAAGCCTAATACGTATAGGTGAAATGTTGTATTAAAAAAGGTCTCCTTTTACTTTCTCCTCCAAACAAGCTTAGGGATCCAATAAAAACTTGTACTGCAACGAGTCATTTCTTAACTCCTGTTGGTAGTGTGTCATGCAGATCCATGGCAGGGTAGCCAAAAGTGGGAAACATATTATTGAGTAGCTGTCTTTACAGAAGTGAACCAAAATTTAATTCTGAAGACCCAGTGATGCACATCCCCTCCTTTAAGAAACATTATATTAGCATGAATATTTAGGAGTCTTGTAACTACAGTGAGCACTCTTATAATGTTGTTCTGTATAATGCAACTGAAAAAATGGTAAATAGATCATGCTATGAAGGCTTTTTTACATGCTGTTCAATTTTGGATGCACCTCTTCAGCTGCATTTACAAAAAAAAAATTATCACACTATATAGAGAAGCTTTATAAAAGCTTACTATAATTAAAATTAATACTCTGAGATCCAGGACCAGTCTTTGCCCAGTGCAGATTAAAATGTTGTCAGTAAAGAACATCATATTTCATTCCTGTGTCTGTTTCCATAGACAGTGAATCTACTAATTATTGGACAAAAGATGAGAGGGAGGGGTGTATGTACAATACTGCCAACTGTCCAAAACTTCAAATTATGAAATCAATTTTTCATGAGTATAGTTTTACCAACGCTCCTGTATGGGTGTGAAGTATGGGTGTGAAGTATGGGTGTGAAGTATGGGTGTGAAGCATGGGTGATGAATGTTGCAGCGAGGAGAAGGCTGGAGGCAGTGGAGATGTCATGTCTGAGGGCAATGTGTGGTGTGAATATAATGCAGAGAATTCGTAGTTTGGAAGGTAGGAGGAGGTGCAGGATTACCAAAACTGTTGTCCAGAGGGCTGAGGAAGGGTTGTTGAGGTGGTTCGGACATGTAGAGAGAATGGAGCGAAACAGAATGACTTCAAGAGTGTATCAGTCTGTAGTGGAAGGAAGGCGGGGTAGGGGTTGGCCTAGGGAAGGTTGGAGGGAGGGAGGGGGTAAAGGAGGTTTTGTGTGCGAGGGGCTTGGACTTCCAGCGTGCATGCGTGAGCGTGTTTGATAGGAGTGAATGGAGACAAATGGTTTTTAATACTTGACGTGCTGTTGGAGTGTGAACAAAATAACATTTATGAAGGGATTCAGGGAAACCGGCAGGCCAGACTTGAGTCCTGGAGATGGGAAGTACAGTGCCTGCACTCTGAAGGAGGGGTGTTAATGTTGCAGTTTAAAAACTGTAGTGTAAAGCACCCTTCTGGCAAGACAGTGATGGAGTGAATGATGGTGAAAGTTTTTCTTTTTCGGGCCACCCTGCCTTGGTGGGAATTGGCCAGTGTGTTAATTAAAAAAAAAAAAATTTTCATGGTTCAGTTGTCTTCTGAACTAACAGATTTGGTCCATTGGTTTAGTAGACAACAGAACATTAAGAATACATATATTGTAACCTATAGTACTACAGTACAGTACTGTACTGAATACTAATTTTTATAGTACTGTAATTAATTTACAATAATTTTATTGCCATTTCCTATTGGAGATATGAGGTGTAAACTGCTGTGATCAATAGTGGTGATTCGGAATAACTTTTATTCTACTAGTGAAAATAATGTAGATGGCTGAGAAGACATGGACACTTGAGATGCCAGACTCATCCTTTATCATGTAGTTCATTTCTGCTTAGTACTGAGAACCACACATTTCTTCTTAGCATCACCACTTCCTTTAGAAACCATTGTTAATTCCACTTAATAAGTTAATAAAGTTACATAAAGCAGTAAATCCATGAAATATTGGAAACTAAATGACCAGTGTGTGCATGAGAGGGCACAAACAATAAACTGGTGTGAGTGGTCTATGGCTCAGGGAACAATTACAACAGACAAGTTCTGGATGTGGCCTCAATGGCCCATTCAGGATGTGTCAGAGTCATAGGACTTGGTCTGCTGCTTCAGAAGACATCCGGATATTATCACCATTAACAAAATCTGTAATTACAGGCTTTTTCTATTTTGTCTGATACTTGAAGGGTGTATAAATCTGTAGTGGAGGGGAGGGGTAGGGGATACCCTAGGAAAGGTTGGAAGGAAGGGGTAAAGGAAGTTCTGTATGCAAGTGGCTTTGACATCCAACAGGCACATGTGAGTGTGTTAGAAGTGAAGACAAATAGAGTTTGGGAGCATAACATTTTGTGAAGGTATTCAGGGAAACTGGTTAGCCAAACTTGAGCCCTGGAGGTGGGAAGAACAGTGCCTGCACTCTGCAGGGGGGGTGGGGATATTTTGCAGTTTGGAGGGACATCAGAATTGTGGTATCTGCATGCCCCTGGCAAGACAATGATAGAGAATGTTGCTGAAAGTTTCTTTTTCAGGTCACCCTACCTTGGTGGGAAATGGCCTTTTTTTTTTTTTTCTTCAAAAAGAAAAAAAGTTAATGGTATTCAATACAGACAAGTGGATGAGTAAGACACATGTGCAACAGTTCAGTATCTTTATTCATGAGACGTTTCACCTGATCAACAGGCTTCCTCAGTTGCAATACAGAGGAGTCAACAGAAGACGTGGAGATATAAGTATGAAGTGATCAGTCCCTCAGTCTAGAGGGACATGTTCTGCACATGTCTTGCTCATCTAACCTAGTATATATACATTGTATATACTGAGGCACATATGTTGACAGCTGTTTGATTACAGTTCAACGAACTTAGTAATATTTTTCAACACACCAGCCACCTCCCATCGAGGTAGGGAGACCCAACAAAAGGGTCATCCACAGATATTACCCCTAAGAGTTTATCATTTTTGAGGGCCAATATGAAGCCTCCAAATATCCAAGGAATATGTCTGCACCTATGGTCTTCTACTGAACTACTGTACTGCATTGCTTTTATCCCTAATTTGAATATATTCGCCTATACAAAATAACGAAGACAAAATGTTATAAATGAACAGTTATATACAAGGTAATGAAAACTTGAATATCAGGAAAAATCCATAATCCAAACAGTGCAGTAGAGAATACTGTATACACAAAACTTCACCAAATATGAAATAGCACACATTGAATAAATGAGATAACAAGAACAGAATATAGTTGAATCAGTACCTGAAGATTCTGGCTGGCAATCTGACCAATGGTAGTTGTAAAGCCAGAATTTTTAAACACATAGTCTTTCGGGGTAGAATTTCGGGCCTGATTTACAAAGTCAAGTGGGACAGGCGTTACCTGCAAGAATATAATTTTAAATGAGTTCTTGCTAACTGGCCAGTTTTACCTATTCGGCATGATGAATATACTGTATATATTTATATACAGCCTCTCCTCACTTAACGATGGAGTTCCGTTCCTAAGACCACGTCAGTAAACGAATTCGTAGCTAAGCAAGGAGTATACCATAATGGTAGTGGATTTGTGTCAACCAACTTCGATATTGTTTTAATGTCACCTTTGCACCATTTATAACATTTGTAGTATATTTTTAAATTTATACGGTAGTGTACCGTATATTGTAATGAGTAGAATACAGGAAATCAGCTCTATTATACATTATTTAGGTATGCATACTGGTCAGAGAACCTGTCATAAGTCCGAGTCATCGTTAAACGAATACGTAGCTAAGTGAGGAGAGGCTGCGTATATACTCTACAATATATGATACTATACTTATTTATAGTTATACTGTATGTAAATATATCCACAAAAATTTATGCACAGTTCAACCCCATTTCCTTAACTTTTTCACTGTCGAGACCCCTGCTCACAAACTTCCTCTCAGTGTCAAAGAATTTAAACAAAAAAAAATTAAATGATAGAGGATCTTTTCCCAATGGCAGTGATGCCAAAAGTAAGAAATTTGATGGAAAACTTATGGAATTACGCTCTCCCGAAGTTAGTGGTCTGTGATATTTATGCATCAGTGATTTTTGCCCACTTTGAGCCCTATTTTCTGCCAATTCCATTGTTCCAGTCAACCAAACTCTCTTGTTCTATCGAATGAGTACAAGAAACCACCCATTTACCAATTTCAACTACCCAATAAAGTGATCAGAAATTAGTAGTTTGGCTAATTTCACACAGAACTCAAGGAAAGCAGTTATTCAAAATAGGATCCAGAATTAACAATGCAAACATTCTTAGCGCTAAAATAAAAAAAAATTCTGTTCATTAGTCACGTCTCCAGACCCCTCTTATATTATGCTTGCTTTCCATTTTAAATTTTTATTCACAAAAAAATAATTTACTGTTATGCAGACTACTGCATTATTGTAAAAATGGTATAAATAATAGCACATTTGTGAAAGCATATTAGACCCACCAATTGACATGTATTGGACACATTGTGTTATTTGTTTACTCTTGAACATTGGCAAAAATTGAACATTTCTGCTAACTTGAGCTAAACTTCAAGGTACTTTTAGTCCATAAAGCATTCAAAATCATTTCTATTTCTGTAATATATCTTCCATTTAACAAAAGAGATCAAGAAAACTAGAATACAACCATAAATACCATACGAAAATACACCACAAAGTTGCTGTTTTAACCCAAAAACACAGTCGGAGTTTTTTTTTTCTCATTACGAACCGCATACTGCAGAATTTTTTTTTTATGCTGTGCACACTGATCACTCAGATCCCCACTCTCATATGTAGGCCTACCAGCTTTCTCCCACAAGATGGAAGCCACTAGAATTTTGGCGTAATATTATTGGATTGACACTGGCTTGCAAGCCATAATATTATAGGACCGATAATGAAAGGGTTAAACTGTGGCTAATAGGAAATTTTACGTGTCAAAATTATTAAAAAAAAAAAAATTCCATGTCTCTTTAAATGTTGCTTTAAACTGTTGAAAAGCTGACAGTCATAAGATTGAGCACATTTTTAAAGCAAACTGAGGGTTATATTTTAATTTAAGGTTGAGCATCAAAAAAAAAAAAAAAAAAAAAAAAAAAAAAAAAAAAAGACAATGGGCACTAAGAAAAGAATTGAAAAATTGAAGCTATTTTCAAAATGGCATTTGATAAAAACTTTGTATGATCAAATCATACGGAATACAAAGTATGCAAATTCCAGAAAATCGATTGCACAAGGTTTCAGGATATTACACAAATAGCTTAACAATTCTTCCTACACAGTAAACATTAATTTTCAATTTTATTGAGAGACTTTTCATCTTTACTAATAGATCAAATTTTTATTAAGTAAATATACAAAGAAACGAATTTAACACTTTCTCACCTGTGTGTAAGTCTGTAGGACAATGTCCTCTCCTGGGTCATCCAAGAGTAGAAAACCAAGATCAAACCAGCTGTTGGAGACATCATCTGAATTAATACACTGTTCACAGATTTTTTTTTTTTTCAACAAGTCGGCCGTCTCCCACCGAGGCAGGGTGACCCAAAAAAGAAAGAAAATCCCCAAAAAGAAAATACTTTCATCATCATTCAACACTTTCACCTCACTCACACAATCACTGTTTTTGCAGAGGTGCTCAGAACACAACAGTTTAGAAGCATATACGTATAAAGATACACAACATATCCCTCCAAACTGCTAATATCCCAAACCCCTCCTTTAGAGTGCAGGCATTGTACTTCCCAATTTCCAGGACTCAAGTCCGGCTATATAAAAATAACCGGTTTCCCTGAATCCCTTCACTAAATATTACCCTGCTCACACTCCAACAGATCGTCAGGTCCCAAATACTATTCGTCTCCATTCACTCCTATCGAACACGCTCATGCACGCCTGCTGGAAGTCCAAGCTCCTCGCCCACAAAACCTCCCTTACCCCTTCCTTCCAACCTTTTTGAGGACGACCCCTACCCTGCCTTCCTTCTCCTGCATATTTAAATGCTCTCCATGTCATTCTACTTTGATTCATTATCTCTAAATGACCAAACCACCTCAACAACCCCAATTCAGCCCTCTGACTAATACTTTTATTAACTCCACACCTTCTCCTAATTTCCACACTCCGAATTTTCTGCATAATATTTACACCGCACATTGCCCTTAGACAGGACATCTCCACTGCCTCCAACCGCCTCCTCGCTGCTGCATTCACAACCCAAGCTTTACACCCATATAAGAGTGTTGGTACTACTATACTTTCATACATTCCCTTCTTTGCCTCCATAGATAACGTTTTTTGACTCCACATATACCTCAACGCACCACTCACCTTTTTTCCCTCATCAATTCTATGATTAACCTCATCCTTCATAAATCCATCCACCGACACGTCAACTCCCAAATATCTGAAAACATTCACTTCTTCCATACTGTTCACAGATATCCCACAATAAGAGGAAACTTATTAAGATGTTCGGTCCATCCTAAACCTTGTCAAGTCAAGTCACAGTGGTGACTTGACTGTGACTTGACAGTGATTCAGGATGGACTGAAATGACAAGTTTCCACTCACAAGTGTGGCTAAAGATGTGAATTGTTCCATCCATGGTATTGTGACTTTTTATTTTTAACTTTACTGTACAGCCTCTTCTCACTTAACAACAGAGTTCTGTTCCTAAGACCACGTTGGTAAACCAATTTGTCACTAAGTGAGGAGCATACTGAGCATACTATAATGATAGTGGGTATGTCAACCATCTTTGATATTATTTTAATGTCACCTTTGCATCATTTATAACATTTATGGTATATTTTTAAATGTTTATACAGTAGTGTACTGTATACTGTAATAAACAGAATAGAAGAAATCAGCTCTATACAGTATTTAGGTATGCATACTGGTCAGAGAGCCCGTCGTAAGTCCGAGTCATCGGTAAACGAGTACATCGGTAAGTGAGGAGAGGCTGATTAAATAATTACCCTCTTCATCCCATTTCTTTTTTTTGGTGGATGGAGAGGTAGTCCCAGAAAGGATGAAAAGTACTTAAGAATCATTTGATTGGTATACAATGCTAACTCCATGGGGAAGTGGAACAGAATTCTTCCTCCGTGAGCCATGCGTGTCATAAGAGGCGACTACAATGCCAGGAGCAAGGGGCTAGTAACCCCTTTTCCTGTATACATTACTAAATTTAAAAAGAGAAACTTTACTTCTTTTTGGGCCACCCCGCCTCAGTGGGATATGGCTGGTGCATTAAAAAAAAAAACAATGCTGACAAACTACTGAATAAGACACATGTGAAATACTTGTGCATCTTCACTGAAGAACCCTTTTACCTGCTCAGCAAGCTTCAACATTCATTTACAGATGTGATTACAATCCTGGATTCTGAAGAAATGGAAAGGTAGTTTGTGGTGATCAGTCCCTCACCCTATATGGAAGATGGTCAGTCTCTACAAGACTGTGTCTTCCATGAAGGCTGAGGGATTGCAGTCACTTGTGTGTGTGTCTGATGAAACCTGGTAAGCTGACAAAATGTTTCTTACTCGAGAGTTTCCATAGGAGCATGTCAGAGATGTGAACAAATTTAGAATTGTGCAAGATTTGCAAAACAGTCTGGCAGCGGCAAGCTACATGCATTTGTTACTCAGCAATTAAATGTTAAATCTGACTGCATTATTCATCTACATCAAATCAACCAATGGAGAGAAGTTTTCAACCTCAAGAAACCCCACCTTGGCAAGAAACAAAATGATCAAGCATAAGATATATTTGCATTCCAACATGCTGAAAAGACAACTAGAGATGAGCATAGTAAATCTCAAGAGATGTTTCTTTGGAGATCATATCAGCTATTTATGTTTGAAGAAGACTACAAAGGGTACAGGTCCTTCTTGTAATTGAGCAACCCTTTAGACTGTGTAAAACAGTTACACAGTGCCAAAAGCTTTAATGGTATCCGACAAACTGGATAATGAAGTTTTGAGGCTCATGATGCATTCTGTTTTTTTATGCAAGAACCTCATGCTATGACAAAACTTAAACCTTTAACAACATTATTTGGCACTTTGATTCACAGGCATGTGTGAGCATGTTAGAAGTGAGTGGAGACGAGTGGTTTTTGGGTCATGACGAACTGTTGGAGTGTGAGCAGGGTAATTTTATGTCAAGGGATTCAGGGGAACTGGCTAGCCATACTTGAGTCCTGGAGCTGGGAAGTACAGTGCCTGCACTCTAAAGGAGGGGTTTGGGATATTTGCTGTTGAGTGACATATAAACCATCATATCTGCATGCCTCTGGCAAGACAGTGATAGTGTGAATGATGGTGAAAGTTTTTTTTTTTTTTTTGTCACCCTGCCTTGGTGGGAGATGGCCAGTACATACCTGGAGAGGGTTTCAAAGCTCAACACCCAAGTGGCCTGGTCATGTTAAAAAAAAAAAAAAAAAAAAAAAAAAAAAGAGCAAGGGGCTAGTAACCCCTTCTGTATAAATTACTAAATGTAAACAGAAGAAAAACTTTCTGAAAACATTTCTTCTTCTTTTGGGTCACCCTGCCTTAGTAGGAGACAGCCAATGTTAAAAAAAAAAAAAAAAAAAATAATTACCTGAGAATCATCATTGTCATCACACTCACCTTACCAGCTGATGTATGATGACATTATGAATGCTCACATTTCTTAATTGTACATCAAACCAACATTCTTGCAGAAAAACATTCTAAGACACCACCAATCTGGTGTGACAACAGTGCAAGAATACAATATGATTAATAAGCATAAGCTAAGAGTGTAGTGGGAGTTTTTAAAAATCAAATGATGGCTTAAACCTACAGTAATACTGTAGGCCTGACTAGCCATTGTTTTTGAAAAACAGAAGGTCTCATAAAAAGGACAAAATTTGAAAATGACATAAGACAGATGTCTGTTTCTAAACAGAGACTATGCTTGAGAAAAGCTGTTTGATAGCTACTAGTACAGTACGAAATTAACAATAGTAGCAGTGTGATTTTATTGAGGGATCCGTACCACTTAATAATGTTTGTTAAAAATTCAGATTCTCTTTGAGACTTTAAAAGTTCTTTAGCCAAAGAAAAGCTTAAATAAAGGGAATATGAAAAAAAAAAAATACAAATTCCTACCTTATATATAATGAAGCTGCCCATGCTATCAAAACCTTAGCATTATCCCTTTTATGACAATAAAGGTATTACTAAAGACAGCCTTTAATGATTTCCAGCTTTTGAAAAATATACTGTAATAATGATGAAGAATCCAATTCCTGGGGAATCAGCCTTATTTCCAAAGGGCATGAATGAAGAACTTGGCAACATTAATAAAATTCTGACCTTTATTGGGTGATGAGGCAGTTTGTTGATGGGTGATGTGGTTACGATGCATTATTATTTCTCAATGAAAAATTTCTCAAAGGTCAAAATGACTCATTGTATCACCTAACAAGCGCCATGTCAAAGTTTACTACAACTGATCCACATGTTCAAGAAATATCATAAAAATCCAGCAATTTTGCTTTGTTTAACCCTTTCAGGTTCAACAGGCCCTCTCAGAGACTTGTTCTCAGGGTCGCCCAAATTTCAAAAAAAAAAAAAAAAAAATTTCTTATGAAAAGATAGAGAATCTTTTCTCGATCATAATGACACCAAAAGTACAAAATTTGATGGAAAACTTAGGGAATTATGCTCTCGCAAAGTTAGCGGTCTCGACAATGTTTACGCATCGACAATTTTGCCCACTTTGAGCCCTATTTTCGGCCAATTCCAATGTACTAGTCAACAAAAATCATAACTATTTTGCTAGAACTCCATTTTTTTTTCTATCAAATGAGTACAAGAAACCACCCATTTACCGATTTAAACTATCCAATACAGTGGTCAGAATTTAGCAATTTTGCCAATTTCACACAAATTTCAAAATATGCCAATTACCGAATAGGGTCCAGAATAAACAAGAAAGACATTCCTGGCACTAAAATAACATTTCCTCTTTTCATTAGTCACGTCCCCATGCCCCTCTTACATTCTTTTGCTTTCCACTTTGAATTTTTATTCTCACAAAAAAATAGAAGATATACTGTTATGCAGACTACTGCATTAGTGTAGAAATGGTATAAATAATATCAGCGCACTTGTGAAAGAATATTAGACTCGCCAGTTGACGTGTATTGGACACATAGCAAGATTTGTTTACTTTTGAACTTTGGTAAAAATCGAACATTTCTGCTACTTTGAGCTCAATTTCAAGGACTGTACTTTTCATTGTAAAACCAGTCAAAATCATCTCAATTTCTGTAATATGTCTTCCATTCTATAAAATGAGACCAGGAAAACTAGAATACAACAATAAATACCATACGAAAATACAGTGCAAAGTCGCTGTTTTAATCCAAAAACACGGTCAGTTTTCTTTTCTCATTACGCACTGTGTGCTGCAAGATTTTTTTTATACTGCACACACTGATCACATAGACCCATTCTTTCATATGTAGGCCTACCAGCTTTCTCTCATTAGATTTGAGGGCGCTAGAATTTAGGCGTACTAGTACGTCAAATACTCTGGTGCGTAAGCCGTACTAGTACGGCTGAAACCCTGAAAGGGTTAATGCATTGGCTATCTCCCACCAAAGTATAGTGACCCCCCCCCCCATGAAAGAAGAAACATTCACCATCATTTGTTCAAATGCTCTCTTGCCAGAAGCATAGTGACAACACATGGCCCTGCAAACTACATCATCTATACCCCTCCATAGTGCAGAACTGTTTCCCACCTCCAGGACTCGGGGTCTGAATTGATGTAGCTGATTCTCTTCATAACAATTACTTTGCTTACATTCAACATCACATCAAACCACTTGTCTACACACTTTGATTTAATGTGCTCACACAAGCCCATCAGTGTTCGATTTACCCTCTTCCTGTAACCTTTTCTGTTATGACCCCTACCCCTCCCTTCCTCCACCTCAGATTTATACTCTAGTAGTCATCCTATTTTTCTCCATTCTCTTTAAATACTCAGATCACTACAATGACCCCTCCACAGTCCTCTGAACTATATTTTTGGTAACACCTACACCCTCTCTAAATTTTATTTACAAACTTAAATAACTTTAACTGCTTTTATACATAAAAAATACATTGATTCATTCATAGATAAACATAGTGTCTTAAAACAAACTACATATATAAAAATATATGGTATTAATCTAAAGGATAATCTACCAAGATTGTGAAATGCTAAAAAAATTCATATGATAACTTGTAATATTTTACATATCTTACCAATCAGGTGTACATTCAACAATAAAGTTCTCTACTGATACAAGAGGCTGCTGTGGATGTACACGTCCTGAAGACCTGAGAAAGTTAATACGTTGTTCAGCAGACTCAAGTGCAGCCTCAAATCCAACTGGCTGAGCAGCTACTCCCTCTGCTTGAGCTGCCATGCCACTGTAAATTTATAAAAAAAATACTTCAAAATTACCGTACATTACTTTCATTTCCTATAATGTAAACAATGAAAGCATGCTGACTTATTCTCTTCGAAAGTTTGGGCAAACTGTATGTGAATACAAATGTTATGATTAATAGTCTAAATCTTATGTAACATTTAAGTATTAGGATCTGTTTGCTCGAAATGCATTGCATAATTAGTGCTTTCTTTTGTGCCTATCGATGATTTATTATATGTAAACTACATTACAACCTCTCCTCACTTGACTGGGTTCCATTCCTAAGAGTAGGTGGGTAAGCAAATTGGTCATTAGCAAAGAGCATATTATACTGATAGTTGGTTTGTGTCAACTATCTTTAGATATTTTTTTAATGTCACTTTTGAACTATTTATAACATTTCTGGTAAATTTTTAACCCTTTCACTGTTGGTGCCATATAGATACGTCTTAAAAGTCAGTGTTGGTGACGTATTAACATTCCAAAATTCTAGCAGCTCAAATCTAGCGGGAGAAAGCTGGTAGGCCTACATGTGAGAGAATGGGTCTACATCGTTAGTTTGCACAGTATAAAAAAAATTGGGGAAGCTTCATTGCACTGTGGGAGTGCTAATTCAGTACACCTTGGTCACCCAGCCTTGCGGTAAGGAATACCTCGCTCTCTGTCGAACTGGGACTTTTTTCTTCCCAAGTTCTAACACAGACTGAAGTGTCAGTCAAGATGAATCTTATGGTTTTTGAGGAGTTTGTGACAGAAAGCAATGCCCAGGATACCAGAAATAGTACTGAAAACCCAGACAACCATCAACCTTCCACCTTCCACCAGAAAAATCAGACAAAGTGACTTATTTCCACATGGGTGGTGGGAAAGACAGCATGGGTGGTGAGGAATGCAGTGTGGGTTTGTGTAAACATGTTATGTCAGCAATATCATGATAATGTGTGTGCAGTTATTGTCTTGCATACAACGAGTATATATATAAATACATGTACAGTGGAACCTCAAAAATCGAACGTATCACATATTGAACATTTTGAAAATAGGACCATTTTTTCGGACAAACTGTATCCCTATTATCAAACGTGTCCCTATTTTCAGACTGCCGGGTACGGGACCTGTCTGCCGCCCACTCTGTCCACGTCCCCGCGCAGGCACCGTCAGCAGTCTAGCTTTGTTTATGCTTGAGTGAACACTAACCTGCGCACTCATTCACGCATTTTACGATTATTTCGTTGTTTAGTGCTTGTGGGACTGTGATATAAGCTGCCATGGGCCCAAAGAAACTTGCTAGTGGTACCCCTGTGGTAAAGAAAGTGAGAAACACCAAAGATGTGAAGAAAGAAACAATACAGAAGTATGAGAGTGGTGTGAGACTTGTTGAGCTTGCCAGGATGTATGGGAAAAACAAGTCGACCATAGGTTCTATCCTGTCAAAGAAAGAACAAATCAAGGAAGCTGATGTTGCGAAAGGTGGAGTGGAGTGGATGAGGTGCCTTCTTCAAAGATTAAGGAGATTTGTGCCAAGTGGAATGATGTCCAAATATTTATGCAAAAGTACCACCCTGAGCAAGCTGAAACAAGCCATCTTTGCAACAAGTTCAGTGACAGAACCATGTCCCATTTTAGGGAAATGTTAAAGAGGCGCCAGAAACAGAGGACTGTGGACAGTTATTTTGCGAGACGGGGTCCAGTGACTCTCAAGCTGGTCCTAGTGGCATTAAAAGACAGAGAAGGGAAGTAACCCCAGAGAGGGCTTTACCTGAAGTCCTCATGGAGGAGGATTCTCCTTCCAAACACTAGCCCCAACTCCCTATCTTCCAGATGCCATCACCAATCTTCAATAAAGGTAAGTAAAAATGTTATTTTATATGTATTACTATACATAATTAAAAACTATAGTATTTGTTGTATGTAAAACTGTAATTAATCTCTATAAAATGTATTTTTTGTGTGAATATTTTTGGGTTTCTGGAACGGATTAATTGTATTTCCATTATTTCTTATGGGAAATATTGCTTCGAATTTCAGACTTTTCAAATTTAGAACTAGCTCCTGGAACGGATTAAGTTCGATTTTTGAGGTTCCACTGTATGCATGTATGTATGTATGTATGTATATATATAATTTTTTTTTTTTTTTTTTTTTTTTTTTTCAACAAGTCGGCCGTCTCCCACCGAGGCAGGGTGACCCAAAAAAGAAAGAAAATCCCCAAAAAGAAACTACTTTCATCATCATTCAACACTTTCACCACACTCGCACATTATCACTGATTTTGCAGAGGTGCTCAGAATACAACAGTCTAGAAGCATACACATATAAAGATACACAACATATCCCTCCAAACTGCCAATATCCCAAACCCCTCCTTTAAAGTGCAGGCATTGTACTTCCTATTTCCAGGACTCAAGTCCGACTATATGAAAATAACCGGTTTCCCTGAATCCCTTCACTAAATATTACCCTGCTCACACTCCAACAGATCGTCAGGTCCCAAGTACCATTCGTCTCCATTCACTCCTATCTAACACGCTCACGCACGCTTGCTGGAAGCCCAAGCCCCTTACCCACAAAACCTCCTTTACCCCCTCTCTCCAACCCTTTCGAGGACGACCCTACCCCGCCTTCCTTCCCCTATAGATTTATATGCTTTCCATGTCATTCTACTTTGACCCATTCTCTCTAAATGACCAAACCACCTCAACAACCCCTCTTCTGCCCTCTGACTAATACTTTTATTAACCCCACACCTCCTCCTAATTTCCACACTCCGAATTTTCTGCATAATATTTACACCACACATTGCCCTTAAACAGGACATCTCCACTCCCTCCCAACCATCTCCTCGCTGCTGCATTTACCACCCAAGCTTCACACCCATATAAGAGTTTGGTACTACTATACTTTCATACTTTCCCCTTTCTTTGCCTCCATAGATAACGTTTTTTGACTCCACATATACCTCAACGCACACTCACCTTTTTTCCCTCATCAATTCTATGATTAACCTCATCCTTCATGAATCCATCCGCCGACCGTCAACTCCCAAGTATCTGAAACATTCACTTTTTCCATACTCCTCCTCCCCAATTTGATATCCAATTTTTCTTTATCTAAATCATTTGACACCCTCATCACCTTACTCTTTTCTATGTTCACTTTCAACTTTCTACCTTTACACACATTCCCAAACTCATTTCCCCTAACCTTTTCAATTTTCTTTAGAATCTCCCATAAGCACAGTATCATCAGCAAAAAGTAACTGTGTCAATTCCCATTTTGAATTTGATTCCCCCTAATTTTAATCCCACCCCCCTCCCAAACACCCTAGCATTTACTTCCTTTACAACCCCATCTATAAATATATTAAACAACCATGGTGACATTACACATCCCTGCTAAGACCTACTTTTAACCGGGAAGTTTTCTCCCTCTCTTCTACACACCCTAACCTGAGCCTCACTTCCTCATAAAAACTCTTTACAGCATTTATAACTTACCACCTATTTTCCCTATACTTTCAACATTCTGCCAAATTGCTCCTCTATCCACTCTATCATATGCCTTTTCTAAATCCATAAATGCAATAAAAACTTCCCTATCTTTATCTAAATACTGTTCACATATATGCTTCAATGTAAACACCTATCTACACATCCCCTACCCACTCTAAAACCTCCTTGCTCATCCGCAATTTCCCACATTTTGTCTTACCTCTAAATTCTTTCAATTATAACCCTACTGTACACTTTTCCTGGTATACTCAGTAAGCTTATTCCTCTATAATTTTTTACAGTCTCCCTTTTTTCCCTTTCCCTTTATATAAAGGGACTATACTGCTCTCTGCCAATCCCTAGGTACCTTCCCTCTTTCATACATTTATTAAACAAAAGTACCAAACCCCTCCAACACTATATCCCCCCCTGCCCTTTTTAAAATTTCTGTCATGATCCCATCAGTTCCAGCTGCTTTAACCCCCTTTCATTTTACGTAATGCCTCACTACCTCCCCACACTTACATTCTGCTCTTCTTCACTCCTAAAAGATGGTATACCTCCCTGACCAGTGCATGAAATTACTGCCTCTGTTTCTTCCTTAACATTTAAAAGTTCCTCAAAATATTCTCGCCATCATACCAATACCTCCATCTCCCCATCTACTAACTCCCCTACTCTGTTTTTAATTGACAAATCCATATTTTCCCTAGGCTTTCTTAACTTGTTTTAACTCACTCCAAAATTTTTTTCTTATTTTCATTAAAATTTCTTGACAATGCCTCTCCCACTCTATCATCTGCTCTCCTTTTGCACTCTCTCACCACTCTCTTTACCTTTCTTTTACTCTCCATATACTCTGCTCTTCTTATAACACTTCTGCTTTGTAAAAACCTCTCATAAGCTACCTTTTTCTCTTTTATCACCCCCCTTTACTTCATCATTCCACCAATCACTCCTCTTTCCTCCTGCCCCCACCCTCCTATAACCACAAACTTCTGCCCCACATTCTAATACTGCATTTTTAAAACTATTCCAACCCTCTTCAACCCCCCACTACTCATCTTTGCACTAGCCCACCTTTCTGCCAATAGTCGCTTATATCTCACCCGAACTTCCTCCTCCCTTAGTTTATACACTTTCACCTCCCTCTTACTTGTTGTTGCCACCTTCCTCTTTTCCCATCTACCTCTTACTCTAACTGTAGCTACAACTAAATAATGATCCGATATATCAGTTGCCCCTCTATAAACATGTACATCCTGGAGCCTACCCATCAACCTTTTATCCACCAATACATAATCTAATAAACTACTTTCATTATGTGCTACATCATACCTTGTATATTTATTTATCCTCTTTTTCATAAAATATGTATTACTTATTACCAAATTTCTTTCTACACATAGCTCAATTAAAGGCTCCCCATTTACATTTACCCTTGGCACCCCAAATTTACCTACTACTACTTCCATAACATTTTTACCCACTTTAGCATTGAAATCCCCAACCACCATTACTCTCACACTTGATTCAAAACTCCCCACGCATTCACTCAACATTTCCCAAAATCTCTCTCTCTCCTCTACACTTCTCTCTTCTCCAGGTGCATACACGCTTATTATAACCCACTTTTCACATCCAATCTTTATTTTACTCCACATAATCCTTGAATTAATAGATTTATAGTCCCTCTTTTCCTGCCATAGCTTATCCTTCAACATTATTGCTACTCCTTCTTTAGCTCTAACTCTATTTGAAACCCCTGACCTAATCCCATTTATTCCTCTCCACTGAAACTCTCCCACCCCCTTCAGCTTTGTTTCACTTAAAGCCAGGACATCCAGCTTCTTCTCATTCATAACATCCACAATCATCTCTTTCTTATCTGCACAACATCCACGCACATTCAGACTTCCCACTTTGACAATTTTCTTCTTCTTATTCTTTTTAGTAATCTTTACAGGAAAAGGGGTTACTAGCCCATTTTCCCGGCATTTTAGTTGACTTTTACAACACGCATGGCTTACGGAGGAAAGATTCTTATTCCACTTCCCCATGGATATAAAAGGAAAATTAATAAGACCAAGAACTATTAAGATAAAATCAAAGAAAACTCAGATGATGTGTATAAATAAATGTGTACATGTATGTGTAGTGTGACCTAAGTGTAAGTAGAAGTAGCAAGACATGCCTGTAATCTTGCAATTTTTATGAGACAGACAAAAGACATCAGCAACCCAAACCATCATGTAAAACAATCACAGGCTTCGTTTTACACTCACTTGGCAGGACGGTAGTACCTCCCTGGGTGGTTGCTGTCTACCAACCTACTATATATATATATATATATATATATTATATATAAATATTTTATATATATATAAATATATATATATATATAAAATACACGTATATATATACATATATATATATATATATATATACACATATACACTTTATACACATACATACATACATACATACATTATATTGGTCTCACAGGCCACAAAAGTTACTTGAAAAAATAAAAAAAAAAGTACAATAAAAATAATATTAGTGACCAGCAGTCACAGATGTTGCCATAAGCAGTTCTCTCTGTGAACCTCTCACCTCTCTAACTCGGTAAGTAATGATTGCAAAATTTTTTTTTTTTTGGTTTTACAACGCTTACAAAAATATTCTGAAGATTTTGGTGAGAATTTTTTTTTTTTTTTAAACAGAACGAGAGTTTAGAATCAGAGGTCCTGACAGTGACCTCTGATTCTACTGTTCATACAGTAGTTTACTGTAGTATACTTTAATAAACATAATAGAGGAAATCAGCTCTTGTATACATTATTTAGGTTTGCATGTTGGTCATAAGACCGAGTGGTCGGTAAATTAGTACGTCGCCAAGTGAGGAGAGGCCGTATTTATACTGCATAAAAAAATAAAAATTACGTTGGGGGAGTGCCAAAATATCAGTCAAGTAACAGGTTTCCAAAATTATCATTCATGTTTAGTGGTTTGTTTTTTTGTATAGGTGAAGAAAGAATTATGAATGAAGTATCATAATGTCCTTTTCTAGAGTTTTCACATTTTTGTACAACAAGTATCAGCAGACATGCTCCTTAATGAAGAAACGAGGCATATTAAAAATGTTCTCTTGTTAAACAGTGTTGTCTCCCACTAAACAGGGTTGTCTCCCACTAAACTAAGAGGATGTTGCTCACATAATGATAGTCACATTCTAATGTATTTTAGGTAAGTGCATTTTCACTTTAGATGTATAGTATCAAAATTTTTATCTTGAAAAAATACTCTTCATAAACTTTATTGCATGTAAATTTAAACACTGGGAGAGCAATTCTAGTAAAAAAAAAAACTAAGAATCACTAACCTCACTGTTGCCTTTCCAAAAATAAACTGGAAAGCTTCCCTAACTGCCCCAACTTTGATTTCCTTGTCTGAAGTAACAATAATATCCATGTCTCCACCAGAATCTGCAAATGTAAGAGATTTAATTTAATTTCCCAATTGTTCAGTCCTCAATTTCAGCAGTAGTAGCTGTGACATTTTCAAAGAACTTCGACTGCACAGGTTGCTCTGCACTCATAGCCATAAAAAATGTATTCTTCTTTGAACAAATCGGCCATATCCCACCAAGGCAGGGTGGCCCAAAAAGAAAAATGAATGTTTCTCTCTTTAAATTTAGTAATTTATCTTGGAGAAGGGGTTACTAGCCCCTTGCACCTGGCATTTTAATCACCTCATAACATGCATGCATAGCTTACGGAGGAAGAATTCTTTTCCACTTTCCCATGGAAATACTATCATACCATGATAAAATAATCAGCAGAGATTAAAAATTAAACTGTTGATGTCAAAAAGATTCTCTTCACTGTTACCCAAGGTCCCTCTCAATTGAAGTAATCCTTTCTTGCACAGCACAGTATCTGCACATACCATAGCAAAACTGACATAAGTATGGTACTACATATGCAGAATTATCAAATATTTTGGCTACTTAACATCTCTACATATTGAAATGATCCATAAGCAACAGCAGCATTAACAAATTCTCTGATGAGATGTATCTTTCTTATTTTAAAATGTTAAAAAAATAATTTATTTTATAATGTGCTGCTCAATTCATCTGGCTTACCTGTTGCCTTTAACCCTTTCAGGGTTTCGGCCGTACTAGTACGGCTTACGCGCAGGGGTTTTTGACGTACTAGTACGCATAAATTCTAGCCATCAAATCTCGCGGGAAAAGGCTGGTAGGCCTAGATGTGAGAGAATGGGTCTGTGTGGTGGGTGTGCACAATAGGAAAAAAATCTGGGACCCAGTGGTGCATTGTGGGAACACCATCTTTGTAAACAATGTCCACCATGCCTCGCGGTAAGAAGTTCCTCACTCCTCGGCGAACTGGGACACTTTTGTTCCTCAGTGACAGTTCTAATACAGATGGAAGTGCCAGTGAAGATGAGTTTCAAGGTTTTGGTGAGGTTTTGACCAGAACTAATGACCATAATATCGGTAATAGTGAGGAAAACCCAGACGACCCTCGGCCTTCCACCTCTGGTGCTGGGCCATCTTGTTCACGCTCAGTTGTACCAGAATCAAAGAGGAAATGCCTATTTTCCCAAATCCCAGACTCAGATGTGAGCATTTGTGATAATAGTGATAGTGAAGATGAACTACAAGCTCTTCAAACTAGTTCCAGTAGTGATAGTGAAGTGCAATATTCCCCAGTGAAGCGTCAGTATATACGACGATATATGCGCTCTGGTAGTGTGCCATATGCTATTCCAAGGGGAAGGAGTACATCTCGGAGTACATCCCGTGGCTGTACAACAGAAACACAGTGAAAATGACGGTGATAGTGTTGCAATTGGGATGGAAAATGTGCATGGTGGTGGTGGTACCGGCCGTAAGGCACCAGCAGTGGGCCATGCTGCCACCCACGCTGCCACCCACGCCGCTGCCTCAGCTGATCTACAACAAAGGCCACCATCCCCCACCCACCCACCACACCAGCCTCCACAACCACAACCTCCACAACCACCTGTCATTGTCCAGTACCCACCAGCAGACCGCACCCGGGATGGCAGGAAGCTGTCAATTTTGTTTCCAAAAAACCCCCCCAGTTTTATGACAGCCAAAGTGGGAATACGGCCATCCCGTACACTTGAGAACAATGCCAGTGAACTGGAATGTTTCGAGTTATTCTTTGACGAACCCCTGATGGAAAGTATTGTCATGGAAAGCAACACATACTACGAGTACACCATGGCAAACACAATACTTTCACCAAAATCACATCTACACCAGTGGAAGGAGACAACTGTGGCTGAGATGTATCTTTCTTTGCCACAATAATGCTTATGCCACATGTGGGATAGCACAGTGTGAAATCATACTGGTCAACAGACCGCCTGGGTTGCAACCCCCGGTTTCAGTGATTTTAATGCCAGTGAATCGATTTGTGCTAATGTTACGTATGCTTCACTTCTCAGACAAAACCAGGCCTGACAGAAACGACAGGTTATATAAGATTTGGCATGTGTTTGTGTATCCCGAAAGAGAAATTCAATATGTTTTTTTATCCCCTTCAGGAAGCTTGTAATTGACGAGTCTTTGATTCTGTTCAAAGGAAGACTCTCTTTCAAGCAGTACATACCAAGCAAGAGGAAATGCTTTGGTATAAAGTTGTTTGTGCTTTGTGATTGTTACAGTGGTCTGGTATTGATATTTTTGTGTACACTGGAAGTTATACATTTCAAAATACCAGGAAGTTATTGGGTATCTCTGGTGATGTGGTTAGAACAATGATGGAACCATATCTTGGTAAGGGGGATATATTATTTTACAGATAACTGGTACACAAGCCCCACACTCAGTGATTTTTTGCGATTGAACAAAGACAGATGTGTGTGGCACAGTGCGTGCAAATCGGAAACATATGCCCAGGTTTGACGCTGGCACTCGTAAGGTGAGGTGCAGGCGTTTGCTGCCAATGACATCAATGGCATTTCGGTGGCATGACAAACGAGATGTCACACTGTAGTCATCAGTTCACCCTAATGAAATGGCAGACACTGGCAGGCAGCATAGAGAAAGCAATGAACCCATTCTAAAAACCCGCAGCTTTTGATGGACACACCCTCAATATGCATTCAGTGGACAAATGTGACATGCAGATTGGGTTTGCTGATTGTGTTTGCAAGAGTTGTAAGTGGTACATAAAATTCTTTTTCCATCTTCTGGACATTTCCATGCTGAATCCTTATAATATGTATAAGATGAGGACCAGAAACAAACCACCATACGGCAAATTCTGTTTCTGTCATCAGACAAATAGTATTCAAGTACCAAGGAACAGCACCTGCAATAGACTGCCCACCAAATTTTCAACAACTTCCTTCTTGTTTGAAGCATGGTGATAACTTCCTGGTAAAACTGCCTGCTACTGCTTTCAAGAAGGCTCAAAAGAGGTGTTACATCTGTGCACATACAAGAAAACGCCCACAACAATGCAGAGACACTCGTTTTATGAGTGAATAATTGAGGTTGGAGAGTTGAAGGAGGAGGTCTTGCTTCTCCAGGAGGAGATTAGGAGGCTGAAGGTCCACCTCAATGGGTCTGGGAGAGAGTGTGAGGTGGCTGGAGTTGTGGGGAATGAGGCTTCTAGCAGCGAGGTGCAGTCTGTCTCTCGCTGTGAGGAGGCTGTAGTTGGGGAGGCAGCAACGGCTACCAGCAGTGAGGTGCAGCCCAGCACCTGCTACAAGTGGTGAGTAGTTCACAGTAATGGAAGGCGCATCAGAGTAAGGAAAGTTAAGAGTGAAGATCTGAAGGTAGGAAATCGCTTCTCTGTTCTTCAGGATGAATGTACTTCAGTGGCCAGTGAAGGTAAGGGTACTACTGCCCTGCTAATGGAGGTAAGCGCATTCTTGTGGTTGGTGACTCTCAGGTAAAATACATTGACCGTGCTTTTGTAATGGAATAAGAAGATGAGAGATAGAGTTGCTTCCCTGGAGCTGGTGTTGGGGACATTGTCAACAGGCTGGATAATATCATGTCAGGTAATGGGAGCAAGCCCATTATCTGTCTCAGTGCTGGTGGAAATGATACGGGGAAGGGTAGGAGAGAAGAGCTGCTAGATAAGTACAGGTCAGCTATAGATTTCATTAAGTCTAAGGGAGGGATCCCAATCATATGTAGCATCTTGCCTAAAAGGGGGAGTAGGAAATGAATGGTTGTCTAGGGCAATTGGTGTAAATTGCTGGCTAGACAGATACTGCAAGGAACTTGCAATCCCATTCATTGACAACTGGAACACTTTTTATGGCAAACATGATATGTATGCAAGGGATGGGGTACATCTCTCTGGGGCTGGGGTGGTAGCACTTGCAGACTCGATTGAGAAGGCCATTGGTGAAATGCCTATGATTTTAAACTGATGGAAGATAGAGGTATGGGTGTTTTGTGGGAAACAAGCAGGTTGCAACACTTGGGTTGGAAACAGTAAATGTATAAAAGGCATTCAGCATGAAGTTATAAATAAAGACAATAGATCAGGTCAGCAAACAAAGGGGGACAGCAGGGGGCAGCAAGGGACTAGCTCCCTTAAGGTTTACTATACTAATAGCAGGAGTGTAAGAAATAAGATAGATGAGCTAAGATTAATTGCAAGTGCAGGAAACATAGATATTATTGCTATAACAGAGACCTGGCTCAATCTGAAAGATAGAGAGATGCCCTCTGAATGTCACATACAAGGCTATAAATTATTCCACACTGACAGGGTCAACAGGAAAGGTGGTGGAGTAGCGATGTATGTCAGAGACAATTTAAATTGTTGTGTTAGACAAGATATTAAATTAGAAGCGTCAGCCACTGAATCTGTTTGGTTACAGCTTCTCGAGGGCCGAGAAAACTAATTTTGGGTGTGATTTACAGGGCCCCAAATCTTGATAGGGAGTGCAGTAAACTTCTATGGGACGAATTCGTAAGGCATCTACATACGAAAATGTTGTGCTAATGGGAGATTTCAACTATAGACAGACTGACTGGAGCAATTTGACAGGAAATTTAGAGTCAGGTGACTTTCCCTTGATACGATCCAGGATTGTTTTTTAAAACAGTTTGTGACAGAGCCAACTAGGGGAAATAACCTCCTTGACTTGGTTCTGCCAGTAGGGAAACACTAATTAATAATCTTGAGGTTAATGATGAGCTTGGGGAAAGTGATCACAAATCACTCAGTTTTAATATATCATGGAATTCCCCTAATAAAAGGCAATCAAGTCTCCGTCCCTGACTTTCGCTTGGCTGATTTCATAGGCTGAAAAATTACTTAGGTGGGCTGAATGGAATGACCTGACTAAGGGTCAGGTAGGTGGTGATGGTTGCCGATATGATGCTTTCCAGGGCATAGTTCTAGCTGCTCAGTCAAATTATGTTCCAAATAGGGAAATCAGATCAAACAAAAATGATCCTAAATGGATGAACAATAGATTAAAATATCTGATTGGTCAAAAGAGAGGCATATATAGGCAAATCAAAAGAGGAGAGGGGCAATTGAGAAATCGATATATTCAGTTAAAGAGAGAAATAAAAAAGGGAATTAGAAAAGCAAAAAGAGATTATGAGGGTTTAAAATTGCAAGAGAATCGAAGACTAACCCAAAAGGATTCTTTCAGGTATACAGAAGTAAGATCAGGGACAAGATAGGCCCACTCAAAAGTTCCTCGGGTCAGCTCACTGACAGTGATAAGGAAATGTGTAGAATTTTTAACACATACTTCCTCTCAGTTTTTACACAGGAGGATACCAGCGATATTTCCAGTAATGATAAATTATGTAGAACAGGACGATAATAAACTGTGCACTATTAGGGTCACAAGTGACATGGTCCTTAGGCAAATAGATAAATTAAAACCTAACAAATCCCCAGGCCCTGATGAACTGTATGCAAGGGTTCTAAAGGAATGTAAAGAGGAGCTTAGCACACCTTTGGCTAATCTTTTCAACATATCACTACAAACTGGCATGGTGCCAGATAAGTGGAAAATGGCCAAATGTGATACCTATTTTCAAACAGGTGACAGGTCCTTAGCTTCGAACTATAGACCAATAAGCCTAACCTCCATAGTGGGAAAATTTATGGAATCAATAATTGCCGAGGCAGTTCGTAGCCACCTTGAAAAGCATAAATTAATCAACGAATCTCAGCATGGTTTTACAAAGGGGCGTTCCTGCCTTACGAATTTATTAACTTTTTTCACTAAGGTATTTGAGGAGGTAGATCATGGTAATGAATATGATATTGTGTATATGGACTTCAGTAAGGCTTTTGACAGGGTCCCACATCAGAGACTATTGAGGAAAATTAAAGCACATGGAATAGGAGGAGAAATTTTTTCCTGGATAGAGGCATGGTTGACAAATAGGCAGCAGAGAGTTTGCATAAATGGGGAGAAATCAGAGTGGGGAAGTGTCACGAGCGGTGTTCCACAGGGGTCAGTGTTGGGCCCCCTGCTGTTCACAATCTACATAAACGACATAGATGAGGGCATAAAGAGTGACATCGGCAAGTTTGCCGATGACACCAAAATAGGCCGTCGAATTCATTCTGACGAGGACATTCGAGCACTCCAGGAAGATTTGAATAGACTGATGCAGTGGTCGGAGAAGTGGCAGATGCAGTTTAATATAGACAAATGCAAAGTTCTAAATGTTGGACAGGACAATAACCATGCCACATATAAACTAAATAATGTAGATCTTAATATTACGGATTGCGAAAAAGATTTAGGAGTTCTGGTTAGCAGTAATCTGAAACCAAGACAACAGTGCATAAGTGTTCGCAATAAAGCTAATAGAATCCTTGGCTTCATATCAAGAAGCATAAATAATAGGAGTCCTCAGGTTGTTCTTCAACTCTATACATCCTTGGTTAGGCCTCATTTAGATTATGCTGCACAGTTTTGGTCACCTTATTACAGAATGGATATAAATTCTCTGGAAAATGTACAAAGGAGGATGACAAAGTTGATCCCATGTATCAGAAACCTTCCCTATGAGGATAGACTAAGGGCCCTGAATCTGCACTCTCTAGAAAGACGTAGAATTAGGGGGGATATGATTGAGGTGTATAAATGGAAGACAGGAATAAATAAAGGGGATGTAAATAGTGTGCTGAAAATATCTAGCCTAGACAGGACTCGCAGCAATGGTTTTAAGTTGGAAAAATTCAGATTCAGGAAGGATATAGGAAAGTACTGGTTTGGTAATAGAGTTGTGGATGAGTGGAACAAACTCCCAAGTACCGTTATAGAGGCCAGAACGTTGTGTAGCTTTAAAAATAGGTTGGATAAATACATGAGTGGATGTGGGTGGGTGTGAGTTAGACCTGATAGCTTGTGCTACCAGGTCGGTTGCCGTGTTCCTCCCTTAAGTCAATGTGACCTGACCTGACTAGGTTGGGTGCATTGGCTTAAGCCGGTAGGAGACTTGGACCTGCCTCGCATGGGCCAGTAGGCCTTCTGCAGTGTTCCTTCGTTCTTATGTTCTTATGTAAAACACTACTGTGCATGACACCATGTTTCAAAGACTTCCACAGGCTGCAGAACTTCTAGAAACATTCCCTGTGACTGTATATGTGTATATAAAATATAGAAAAATAGTAATAAACAACATTTCATATCGTTTGTGCAAATATTTTTTGTAAACAAAACAATGACAACAGTGTTAATGCCCTTATTGTGTAGTATTGAAAAAGAAATAACTTACAAAATACTGATCATACTGGTCTCACAGGCCATAATAGTTACTTGGAAAAAGAAAAATTAAAAAATAATAGAAATTAGTACATAAGAAAGTAAATACGTAAAAGAATACCGGGTGACGGCAGTCGGCGATGTTGCCACATGGTGCCCCTTTTTCATCAACTTCACGCCTCCATATCTCGGTAAGTATTGATGGTAAAAAAATTTTGTTTAGCCTATAATGTTCAATAAAATAAACTATTTTTTCATAAGAAATTTTTTTTTTTTTTGAAATTTGGCTGACCCTGAGAACAAGTCTCTGACAGGGCCTGTCGACCCTGAAAGGGTTAAAATACAGACATATAAAGAATATTAAAAAACTGTGAAAATTGTTACATTTCCCTGGCATGTTTTTAGTGTTTTATAATAGCAAATATAGCATGAACTCCTGAAAGCTGGTGCCCAAAATAAAAAAGGGTAATAAATGAGTATTACCCTATTCTTTTTCATTATATTTAATACCTAACTGTTATCTTAATTATTTGGTTATCTGGGTATACTCATTGTAAAACCAATTAGACATTAAAACATAAAAATGGTTGATGCTTACGTATAAATTCCTTCATCTGAGGATCCAGAGTGGTAATCATAGTATCCATTGAAGTCTTGGCTTTTTCAGCTACACGATGGCTCACACTTGACACTGTGCCACGAATCCATCCTAACCAACCACTTCCTCCAGGCTTGCCCGCTGGTTCAGCTACACTAGGTGAGCCAAGGTCAACAGAAGCAGAGGCATCTACACTACCTTCACTGTATGGGGAATAACCATAACTAACACTATTACCAACAATATTTACACATGCAGCATCACTAGCATAAGGTTCCCCAGTGTAGGAACTTGGCCCCAAAGGTGATTCAGCTTTAGGGTAAGTACAAAGCTGACCGTGAGATTTGCTAAGTGTCATAAAAGGTGCTTGCTCCTGGTGCACAGCTAAGTATGGTAGTGATGGAGGTGGTGATGGGTTATGCAGCGGGTTACCGGCAACATAGAGTGGGTAGCTGTAGTTACGATAGTGACCTTTAGGAAGCAACAACGTGGAGCCACACTGCCTAGAGTGCACAAACACAATTTCACTAAATATTTGAAAAGACATTGATAGTAATCACTATAAAATAGTATAAAAATAGTTTATGCCTAAATGCATTTCTTGCAAATAAATAATCTGAGCTATTTTATTTCACAAATTATAAATGACAGAAAATTTACTAAAAAGAAAAACTGGAAATATATACAGTGTGTAACCAAAGTACAGTATTCATATTCTAGCACAAACTGAAAACAGAAACAGATGAATTCTTTTACAAAATGTGTTACTTCTGCAACTTCTTCCAAGAAAAAAGCTGCAGGAAGAACAAAGATAATGCCTAATTTGAGAAAGGAATGAAACTATTCAATATAAATCCAGCTAATTTGTACTAAATCAAGAACACTGTTGGGATGAATCCTGAGATTTCAAAAGAGAACATGGAAAGACTGCAGAAATGTATAATCAGGTAATATGAATTGGCCATTTTGGCTTGTAGGTTTTAAGTCTGGTTAATTATGTAACCACTATGGAGGAGTGGCCTCAGGCTTGTGCTGTGTATTGAAACTTGCCAAGGTGAGTTTTTTATTGTCAACTTCTGTAAATCATGGAGCTTTGTATAATTTTTCTTTTAAGACACTTGCCATCTTCCACTGAGGCAGGGTGATTCGAAAAAGGAGATGAAAGTTTTTATTTTTAATAATTTACACAGAAGAAGGGGTTACCATACCCTTGCTCCCGGCATTATAGTCGCCTCTTAAGGCACGTCTGGCTTACGGAGGAAGGATTCCTCTCCACTTCCCCATGTCCTGAGCTAAATGAAGCTGAACTACTGTAAAATAAATTATACTAACCTAATCTTTTAATTATTTTAACCATTAAAAATATTTACTGCTAGGAGTTTTAATAGTAAATCCCACCAAGACTATGTACTATGTCCACTTAATTGAAATGTTTAATATAATGGAATTTTCAGTAAATCGGACACACGCTTCCCCTATTAGTGAGTTTTATCGGACTTTTAATGTAATTCATAGTGCCCTCAAATTTGCTGAGAGAGGCACATTTTGCCCTAGACATTAGAGAATGGATGTGTATGGTAGAGTGCAAAGTATAAAAATAAAATTCTTGCCCAACACAGTGCATGGTGGAAACAGCTAACCTGTAGTGTTTTTGATATCTTCTGGTAATATGTTGAAGAATCTGGGACCATGGACTATGGCCCTTGTAGGTTTAATGCTTCTATTTGATTATAATAATAATGGGACCACAGATATTGATACAGTGCTCTCTTATTGTGCCCACAGCACCCCTGCCCTTCACAAAGTTAATTTTACACTTCTTGCATCTCTCACTTCAATATGTTATGGCAGTGTGCACATTTAGGACCAGATCCTCAAGTACTTTCCATGTGAAGGTGGTGTGGGTGTGAAACAAGTGTGCGTTTGAGAGAAGTGTGAGGTGGGTTTGGGTGTGAATGTAGTGTGGGCAAGAGAGTGAAATTGGTGAGGGTGGGTATGAGGATGAGGAAGTGTATTGTCATGTTGTACATGTATTGCATCTCAGCCCAGCCATTTACTGAACACGTCCCATGGGGAAGTGGAACAGAATTCTTCCTCCGTAAGCCATGCGTGTCGTAAGAGGCAACTAAAATGCCGGGAGCAAGGGGCTCGTAACCCCTTCTCCTGTATATATTACTAAATTTGAAAGGAGAAACTTTAGTTTTTCCTTTTGGGCCACCCCATCTCGGTGGGATACGGCTGGTACGTTGAAAATAATAAAAGTCGCCTCGATGTCAGAAGGGGGGTCATTGTTCATTAGTAATTAATCAGTTGCTGCAAGTACAAAACCTCATAATTCTGAGCCTCATAAGTACGGGCCTTAGTGTAATCAAAGACTGAAAATGGGATTCACTGAATAAACGAATTCTCCATTTCCTATCTTATTTGTTAAGTGGAGATTAACTGTACGTATTAACAAATATTTTTTAGCAAATATTTTTAAATTAGTTTTATGTATAGTATAGTATGCATAGTATACATAACAGACAAACTAAATATGACTTACCTAACTGGTGGATGAGGCTCAGTCAACAATGGATGCATTGGGCTGGTCAATTGAGTTAACTGTTTATCAAGTACTTGGGCAGGACCAGAGCTAGCCAAGGTTTGGTCCACTGTGTGACTCTGTGATGGTACAGTAGAGATGTGAGGTGGTGCTGGTGGTGGAGGAGAAGGACCACATGGACGAGTGAGGGGAGAAAGGGGAAGTGTTCTAGGGGATGGACCAGGAGTACCACTGGAGGATCCACCAACTGGTGAAGCTACACCACTGACAGGTAATGGTCCAGGTGATGGAAAACTGGGACCTGATGGGGGTGTTGGAGCTGTTACATGTGGAGGAAGAGGAGCTCTAACTGATGGAAAGGGGGATGCTATGAAGGAAGGAAGAGCAGATGGAGGTGCCACATTTGTCAGAACAGAACTAGTACTTGAGGCAGAATCTGAAAAAAAAAAATAATGAATTTTCAACATAGGAGCAAAACAGATTAAAAAGTTATCAACTGTTCTAGAACTATTGTCTACATTCCCTTTTGACCAACCTTAGAAATGTAGTTTAAAGGTAAAACATGACACAAAAATTGTTAAACAAATATGCCTACATAAGCTTTAATGGTTATAAAGCAAGGAAGCACAAGAATGTGACCGGCACTTAACCCTAATAGCTGCAGCACACTGCCACAATTACCTACGAACTTAAAAAGTACTCGTAAAAATGTGATGGAGAAAGCAACTGAGGTAATAACAATAACAGCACAAAAACATAAGATAAAATTAATTCAAGACGGAAGAAAAATTTTTTTCAGACACATGATGAATTATCATGATATTCAGAGCAGAAGTGTGATGAAACTTGCTCAAAATGTATAAAGGTAATAAATGCCTTGTAGATAAGAAGGTTATGCAAGATCTTTACCAAAAGCTGCACATTTTGAGGAGGAAAATTGGGTTTTCATTTACAATGAGCTGTTGCCCAATGAATAAGCTATTCACTGACAGAGTTGAAATTTAACACTTGCAGAAAGTTCATTTGAAGAATAAGTGAATGTCTTACAAAATGTATAGAGGGAGTTGGATAATGTGTACAATGGTGAGACTATCATGGTACAGGAGGACCCCGCTTATGCAGCAGGTAAAGGTAGAGCGAAAATCATAAAATGAATTAAAGCCTTTTTTTTTTATTTTCAAATGCATATAAAAGCCTGATAACATGTTTACACTTAAATACAGTGGACCCCCGGTTATCGGCCGTAATCCGTTCCTGAAGGTCGGCCGATAACCGAATTAATATTTCCCTTAAGAATTAATGGAAATAAAATTAATTTGTTCCAAACAAAAATATTTACAATAAAATAATTTTTTTACAATTATATAAGTATTACATACCTTTATTGGAGGCTAATGTTGGCTTCTGGAAGATATGGAGGAGTTAGTGTTCGGTAGGGAAATCCCCCTCCATGAAGACTTTAGGTAGCAATGCCTTCTCTGGGGTTACTTCCCTTCTCTGTCTTTTAATGCCACTAGAACCAGCTTGAGAGTCACTGGACCACTTGTCTCACAAAATAACTGTCCAGAGTGCTCTGTTTCTGGCATCTCTTTAAGATTTCCCTGAAGTGGGACAGGGTTTTGTCACTAAATATGATGCAGATATGGCTTGTTTCAGCTTTGTCAGGGTGGTGTTTCTCTACAAAAGCTTGCACCCTGGTCCACATTGCACACACCTCTTTAGTCTCTGAAGAAGGCACCGCCTTCACTCCCTCTTCCTCCTCCTCTGAAGCAAGTTCCTCAGCTGCAGTCTGTTGCTGTCACGCTGAAGCTCTTTCAGCTCTTCAGTGGTAAGCTCTTCCCTGTGGTCCTCCACCAACTCTTCCACATCCTCAACACTCGCCTCCAACCCCAGGGACTTCCCCAAAGACACAAGAGAGTCCACAGGGTCGGTAGGGTCAGGGTCACGGTGAGTCTCAAACCTTGCAAAATCCCTCTCTTGGACACAATCTGGCCACAGTTTTCTCCAAGCAGAGTTCAAAGTCCTGGAAGTCACTCCCTTCCAAGCCTTACCATGGAGCCATGGTTACTTATTTCAGTTGCACTGCAAGAAAAACCACTAAAAACAATGGTAAACAAGCAAAATGTTTGGATGTATGAGCAGAAGCTTCTTCAGCCACTGAGAGACAGAGCCAAACTGAAGTGCAAGCTGCTCCAGCCGGCGGATGGACGCGTCCAAAACGGCCGATAACCGAGCGCCGAAAACCCTGCCAATAACCGAGTTGGCCGATAACTGGGGGGCCACTGTATATTAAGTGAGCTATACAGCTAGTCATAAAAAAATGCATGTACAGTACACACATATGAGTTACCTTAAAATATTTTTGTCCTTAGCTTATATAAGGTAGTGAATATATTGTAGGAAGTCTGAATAAATGAATGAGTATAAAAGAAAACTACTGCATTGGCAAAATGCTGTAAAGGAAGCACTGAGAGTTAGTCAGCTGGTGTGTCTCATCCTGGGGGACAAGACTGAATGACCCCAATGGAAATAAGATAGGCAATCCTCGAAGATGGACTTTCTTGGGTTATCTTGGATGACTAACCCTCTGGGTTAAAAATCCAAACAAATCTCGTGCCTAATACGTTCAGAGTACAGTGTATAAAACAGAGTTCTGGGGAAAAATGATATAGTATATGTAAATACCTATTCATAACTACTGTCCCTGCAATATTTGCAACTCCAAGAGCAAAACAATGCTCATGTTGTTTCATATTCAGTAATTAATTCAGAAATAGCATGTGCTGGGAACCACTCAATGTATGATGTTGAGAGAGGATTGATGGATTCAGGAAAATTAGCTCAATGGATTTCAGCTTTGGAGGCTGGAAATTACAGTAGCTGTACCCTGCAAATGGGGTTGTAAGTTTGCAATCATTGGATCCACATTAGACTGCAGCATGCTTTACTGGCAAAGGTAGCAATAATCACTGTATTCCCACTCAAAATATATAGAAACAAAGATACACATGCAGCATAAGGTGATCCTTTATTAACACCTTTGGTTCCATCATACTGGTACAGTATTTTATTAGATAAGGTTTGTTTGGATTTTTAACCCAGAGGGTTAGACAAATCAGGATAACCCAGGAAAGACAGTGCATTACTGAGGACTGTCTCTCTGATTTCCGATGTGATCTTTCAATCCTGTACCCCCTGGACATGACCCACACCAGTCAACTAACACCAAGGTACCTACATACTGCTAGGTGAACAGTGATAGCAGGTTTAAGGAAACATGCCCAGTGTTTCCACCAACGCCAGAGCTTGAACCATGAACACTCGGTGTGTGGGCAAGAACATTGCCAACTGAGCCATGGGACAATATGTTGTATAGTTTAGTATTCAGTGATTAAAGGTAATGGAAGTGGGTAATAATCTTGAGGTTACTTTGCTTGGGGGTTAGGAAACAGCCAAAGTTCTTAAAATAAAGCTTCTGGCAATCTATATTACACTGCTGCAGAGGCTTTGTGTGGATTTATGTCATACTGTCCAATCATAAGGAATTTGGTAAACCTTTTTTTTTTCTTAAAATGTTAAATTAATGCTGTAACTAAAATTTAAATTACGTCATTTAAATTTACCAGATTTACGTTCTGAAGTAGGCAGAAGTGGAGATGAGCGGTGAGTGACTCTGTCGAATACATCCTGAGCTTGATGTATTATATCTTGAGTATTCATGCCTCTTACAAATCAAGTCAGATTATCTTGCATTAACACCAAAATTCTTAATTCTTGTAAAATTATATTATAACTCGGTAGCCAGAATGAATAAACTATCACTATGAATTTACCCGTTAGCTTTCACATATGACAGTAAAGTATCCTTGCAACTTAATCCATTCGCTGTAAAACTTAAAAAAAAAAAAAAAAAAAAAAAAAAAAAATTAAACATTATGAACCTTCAACATTCTCTGCTAAACAATGTAGTGAAAAATTACATCTCTTGTTCAATCACTGGTGTAAAGTCACTTATTTTAATTCAATGGAACTGGTAAGCCAGACTTGAATTATTTTAAAAGTGGGGAAATACAGTGCCTACACTCTAAAGGATGGATGGAGATGTTGCTGATTGGGGATTAATTTAATATGTGTTGCCTAGTTTGGGTCACCCTACCTTGGTGGAAAATAGCAGATTTAGTAAAGAATAATAATGTTTACTACTCTCCCACCAATAACTCTGGTTCAAGCAATCTTAATTACCCTGGCGTATGCCACATCATGTGCAAGGAACAGAAGAGCTGTATACTTGTATTTAAAGATCAAATTAATAATATCTTCAAAATTTATTTCTACTGTGCAACATTGTAGATCTTACACCCTCAAGGAAAGTTCCTTGATGCCAGTGAAGGGTTCTTGATCTAAGGAATGGTACTGGTGCTTCCTCTCCTTGGATAGACCCTAAATGCCTTCCATTCCCCTAGATACTGTATGACCCTTAAGGATTTAGTTCCCCTCCCTCATGAATGTAATGTATATATAATGTACATTTCCAGATATTCCTTAACTGGTGTATACTTCTCAAATGCTGTTTATTTATGTAACATAAAAAAACAGCAGAATCCATATTAAATATAAGAGTGTTGGTACTACTATACTTTCATACATTCCCTTCTTTGCCTCCATAGATAACGTTTTTTGACTCCACATATACCTCAACGCACCACTCACCTTTTTTCCCTCATCAATTCTATGATTAACCTCATCCTTCATAAATCCATCCGCCGACACGTCAACTCCCAAGTATCTGAAAACATTCACTTCTTCCATACTCCTCCTCCCCAATTTGATATCCAATTTTTCTTTATCTAAATCATTTGACACCCTCATCACCTTACTCTTTTCTATGTTCACTTTCAACTTTCTACCTTTACACACATTCCCAAACTCATCCACTAACCTTTGCAATTTTTCTTTAGAATCTCCCATAAGCACAGTATCATCAGCAAAAAGTAACTGTGTCAATTCCCATTTTGAATTTGATTCCCCAAAATTTAATCCCACCCCTCTCCCGAACACCCTAGCATTTACTTCCTTTACAACCCCATCTATAAATATATTAAACAACCATGGTGACATTACACATCCCTGTCGAAGACCTACTTTTACCGGGAAGTAGTCTCCCTCTCTTCTACACACCCTAACCTGAGCCTCACTATCCTCATAAAAACTCTTTACAGCATTTAATAACTTACCACCTATTCCATATACTTGTAACATCTGCCACATTGCTCCTCTATCCACTCTATCATATGCCTTTTCTAAACCCATAAATGCAATAAAAACTTCCCTACTTTTATCTAAATACCGTTCACATATATGCTTCAATGTAAACACTTGATCTACACATCCCCTACCCACTCTGAAACCACCTTGCTCATCCGCAATCCTACATTCTGTCTTGCCTCTAATTCTTTCAATTATAACCCTACCGTACACTTTTCCTGGTATACTCAGTAAACTTATTCCTCTATAATTTTTACAGTCTCTTTTGTCCCCTTTCCCTTTATATAAAGGGACTATACATGCTCTCCGCCAATCCCTAGGTACCTTCCCCTCTTTCATACATTTATTAAACAAAAGTACCAACCTCTTCAACACTATATCCCCCCCTGCTTTTAACATTTCTGTCATGATCCCATCAGTTCCAGCTGCTTTACCCCCTTTCATTCTACGTAATGCCTCGCGTATCTCCACCACACTTACATTCTGCTCTTCTTCACTCCTAAAAGATGGTATACCTCCCTGACCAGTGCATGAAATTACTGCCTCTGTTTCTTCCTTAACATTTAAAAGTTCCTCAAAATATTCTCGCCATCTACCTAATACCTCCATCTCCCCATCTACTAACTCCCCTACTCTGTTTTTAACTGACAAATCCATACTTTCCCTAGGCTTTCTTAACTTGTTTAACTCACTCCAAATTTTTTTCTTATTTTCATTAAAATTTCTTGACAGTGCCTCTCCCACTCTATCATCTGCTCTCCTTTTGCACTCTCTCACCACTCTCTTTACCTTTCTTTTACTCTCCATATACTCTGCTCTTCTTATAACACTTCTGCTTTGTAAAAACCTCTCATAAGCTACCTTTTTCTCTTTTATCACACCCTTTACTTCATCATTCCACCAATCACTCCTCTTTCCTCCTGCCCCCACCCTCCTATAACCACAAACTTCTGCCCCACATTCTAATACTGCATTTTTAAAACTATTCCAACCCTCTTCAACCCCCCCACTACTCATCTTTGCACTAGCCCACCTTTCTGCCAATAGTCGCTTATATCTCACCCGAACTTCCTCCTCCCTTAGTTTATACACTTTCACCTCCCTCTTACTTGTTGTTGCCACCTTCCTCTTTTCCCATCTACCTCTTACTCTAACTGTAGCTACAACTAAATAATGATCTGATATATCAGTTGCCCCTCTATAAACATGTACATCCTGGAGCCTACCCATCAACCTTTTATCCACCAATACATAATCTAATAAACTACTTTCATTACATGCTACATCATACCTTGTACGTGTATATTTATTTATCCTCTTTTTCATAAAATATTTATTACTTATTACCAAATCTCTTTCTACACATAGCTCAATTAAAGGCTCCCCATTTACATTTACCCCTGGCACCCCAAATTTACCTACTACTCCATAACATTTTTACCCACTTCAGCATTGAAATCCCCAACCACCATTAATCTCACACTTGATTCAAAACTCCCCATGCATTCACTCAACATTTCCCAAAATCTCTCTCTCTCTCCTCTACACTTCTCTCTTCTCCAGGTGCATACACGCTTATTATAACCCACTTTTCACATCTAATCTTTATTTTACTCCACATAATCCTTGAATTAATAGATTTATAGTCCCTCTTTTCCTGCCATAGCTTATCCTTCAACATTATTGCTACTCCTTCTTTAGCTCTAACTCTATTTGAAACCCCTGACCTAACCCCATTTATTCCTCTCCATTGAAACTCTCTCACCCCCTTCAGCTTTGTTTCACTTAAAGCCAGGACATCCAGCTTCTTCTCATTCATAACATCCACAATCATCTCTTTCTTATCATTTGCACAACATCCACGCACATTCAGACTTCCCACTTTGACAATTTTCTTCTTCTTATTCTTTTTAGTAATCTTTACAGGAAAAGGGGTTACTAGCCCATTGTTCCCGGCATTTTAGTTGACTTTTACAACACGCATGGCTTACGGAGGAAAGATTAACCAGTGTGAGGAATTTTTTGACCATAGTAAACATGTGCAGGTGGGGTGACAAGTGGTAGATGTACTGGGCTGGATACAGGTGGCAAGATCATGAACACAATGAGAAAGAAACTGCTGGAAATTTTCCAGAAAAAGGTTTGTCACAGGTCTCACTGCCTGCCTATGAAAAAAGAGATCAAGAATGCATGAACCATAATTAGAAACTCCTCTTTCTTTCACCAGTCACCAGCCAACCCAGAAAGGAAAGGCACTGTATGCGCTAATAATTCCACGAATAAAGGAAAGGTATGAACAAATTATTAGTGTGCACAGTAGCTGCCACAGGAACCTCTGAAGCCTGCTTAAACCTAGTCAATACTGACCAGCAGACTGATTCAGCAGGACTCTCACTGAACTTTCCATTTCATTTTAATCAACCCATCAAAAATTTGCACTGCCCATCAATGAGACTGTAGTTCCAAGAGGTAGGGTCAACTTTCAGGAAAGAAAACTGTAAATGTACAAGTGGGCCTTCCTCATATAACAAGTTAGGTTCTGGTCTACTGCTGTCAAGCGAAAATCACTGTAGAAGAAAACATAGCCTTTTATCATTTTGAAATCCATATAAAAGCCTATCATATATTAAGTGAGCAATAGAGCTAAGCCTAAAATATGCATATACAGTACAGTACACACATTACCACCCTTAAAATATTTTTGTCCTTGGCTTATAGTGAATGGTTAATATATTTATTGTAGGAAGTCTGAATAAATGAAGATTGGGTATAACTGAAAATCCCTGTATTAGTGAAGCGCCACACAGTGGGGCCCACCTGTACAGGCTTTAATAAACAGCAAACAGAGGGGAATAGCTCATAAGTCATTGTTTAGAGCCAAAGCCCTCTTGATGTGGAGAGCCTAGACCAGTACATCTTAAAGCATCTATGGATGTTGAAAGTGATACAAAATACCGATAAGCTGATAAGACACAAGTGCAGCAGTTGAGGATCGTTACTGATGAAGCCTACTGTGTGGGCAAAACATTTCAACAATAAAGATGCCCAACCCAGCTGTTGTGCATGTCTTATTCATCAGAATCTATGGAGTACATGATTCCATACCATGATAATGTGCCTGATTATGCAGGGTGTCAAGAAACAGTCATGCTAGCCCTCAAATATTCGTATTAACAAGTCTTATCCACCAAGCATTGTATTTTTCCTGTTGCATTACAGTACTCTGCATTACTTTCTATCATATTCATGATCCAATCTCAGATTTTGTACTATAAAATACCTTAAATGCTGGTATTAAAATTATTTTGAAATGCTTAACTTCCAATTTCTGCCCTATCCTATTTTATTAATCTTTTCCATTATGTGTATAACTTGTCTTTCACGTGCTGTTCTTAATTATTTATGAGAGTGATTAATAACAGCTTTACAAGTGTAAATTAACAGCCATAAAATATTCTTGGTGAATATATCCACAAAAAAAAGTTTGGTGGGAAACATCAGGTACTATATTTATCATAGACATGATAACAAACACAATTAGACAAAATAAGACTACATTTGCTAAGTACACTAACATTCTTATTACTCATTTCAATTTCTTAAGCACAACCAAGTGGTG